TTGCTAACTTTTTGCCGATTTTGTATAGCAGATCATTGTTTAAATAATAATATTAAATTCAGGAACTGGTGGAGGGGGATATCTGTTGAAGGTAGATCCTAACGGAGAACCTCTCAAAATCGGTGAGAATTTTATATAAAAAATATTAACTTTTTGCCGATTTTGTATAACAGATCATTGTTTAAATAATAATATTAAATTCAGGAACTGATGGAGGGAAATTTCTGTTAAAGAAAGGTTCTAGCGGAGGATCCGTCGGGATCGGTGAGAATTTTATATAAAAATAATTAACTATTTGCCGATTTTTTTTGTATACAAGATTATTGTTTAAATGATAATAATAAATTCAGGAAATGATGGACAGGAATATTTGTTAGATGACGGTCTTATCAAGGACTCCGACGACGATGGTGAGAATTTTTAAATAAAAAATCGAAAAATCATTTACAGATATAATATTCTCAAATATTGTTTAAATAATACTATTTTTTTCAGTTTATTCGAGTTACCTAGAACCCGAAGGTAAAAGAAAACCCGTATCAGCAGTTTTGGTCAGCGACTCAATTCCACCAGGTGTGAACAATAAATAATAAAAAAAAAATTCTCACGCAAACACAAAATTACAATTTATCATTATTCATTATTAACAACCGACTGAAACGTCGAAAAATTGATTTTTGAATCAAAAATGCAAAATACCTCAAGAAATATTATTTAAACAATATAATGTTTTTCAGTTTATGCGAAATCGGCGGAATCTGCACGTAAAAAAAAATTTTTGGTCAGCGAGCCACTGCCATCAGGTGCGAACAATAAATAATAAAAAAAAAAATATTCTAACGTAAACTCAAAATTACAATTTATCATTATTCATTATTATATATTATTATTATATTATTATTATATTCAACCGACTGAAATGCCGAAAAATTGATTTTTAAATCAAAAATGCAAAAATCCCTCAAGAAATATTATTTAAATAATATAATATTTTTCAGTTTATGCGAGTTGGGTAGAACCTGCAGATGGAAAAAAATCCTCATCACGAGTTCGGTCCCGCAAAACAATTCCGTTAGGTGGGAACAATAAATTAAAAAAAATATTCTAAGTCAATTGATACCGCGTATTTTCAATTTCTTAATATTTTCTCAAGGCCGGACTATTTTTCAGTTTCTGATAAATCCGAAGAAGAGGAAATCGATGAGCCACCAGAAGTTATTGTCGAAAAAGTGACCAGAGCTCCTGAGACTGTAATACCATTTGTCTTCGTCCGTCGTTACCCACATCTGGGTTGAAAAATAAATAAAAAAAACCACTTCCGAACCTCTCAACATTATAAATAATATAAAAAATCGTCAAATGTAACCAGAAATGTATCTAATACAACAATTACCTATAACAAATTATTGCAAATAAAAAATGATTAAAATCCACAATAAAATAAAATTTTTCCTGCACCCCAAAAATTCTGTGCCACTTATGAATAAAAAAACTGTCGTAATAAATAAAAAATAAACTATTTCACCGCGACGACTTGACAATTCTATAAATTATCAATAAATATCTCTCGATGAATTATTTAAAAACGGGTTTACGAAAAATAAAAAATGTCACGTGAATTATTATTACAATTTCTCAATTTTTCAATTCCAAATTCCATTCAATTTCTTTATTTGTAATTAATCCCAGAAATTATCGGGAATAAAAAAGATAAATAAAAATGAAAAGACTCACTTGGCATTGGTCAAAATTGGCAGGACACTCTGCCAGAGTTGATCAGTGATATGTGGCATTCCAGAGAGTGCAATACCCCAGAGTTGATGTCCATGTCTGGACAGAAATTTGTGAAGTCCATCGTCCGTGAGATTGTCAGACCTGTCGAGATCCAGGGCGATGAGATTCCTAGGATTTCCGGACTCTGTCCACGCCTTGAGGACACTGTCATTCAGGCCATTCAGCTGTCCAGCACTGAGGAATCGTAATCCTGGAATTCTCGTCAACATGTCAATGAGACATTCAGTCGACAAATCCGTTGCTGTGATGTCCAGCTCCTGAACCGATGATTTTTCCCACTCAACTTGCATCACGTATTCACTCTGGAGATCTATAAAAATATTAATTATTATTTAAAGGATCTCACAGCTACTGGGCGGTCATTTACTCGTTCCCTGCATCAGGAGACACTTCAATCTTCTGCTTCTCTGGAATAATGTCTTCATCGTCGATCCTGTCACTTTATTACAGAAATTAACGGCTAGACATTCGAGTTGGATGCAGTTCGAGGAGAAGGCGTCGATGTGGGAGTCGTCCACGAAATTAATTCCGTACAGATTGATCACCCGGAGGTTTGGGGTTGCGGATTTCAACTTGTGGACGTTTATCACCTCGTAGATCTCCTCTTCCTCCTCTTCAATTTTCTCGTACGTCCCTGCAATAATTCTCTTGTTATTAAATTTACCATCATGACTCGAGTCGGGATATCTCATTTTTTATTCATTAAATATCTCATTTTCGCAATAAAAATTCATTTTCAGAAAAAATTCATTTTCTCTGGATTCGAACAAAAATTATGAAAATAAAATGATAAACAATCTATAAATACATTAAATGAATAAATAAATATATGAATAAATTCAGGGATGATTTTATTGGGGAATAATAAAAAATTAATTTTGATATTTCACCGATCAAATGGAGAATCTCCAGTCCGTTAATGAAATTGTAAATTTTTCTCATGAATCCCTCCATGAATATAACTTCAGACAGACAAATGCACATGTATTTTAATTTAGTGGGGAATGCCTGCATCTCGGAGAAGTCATGAAGCTGCATTGCAGTGGAAAAATCCAGGAGCATGTGCGTGAGATTCTGACACTTGTTCGCCAGTTCATGGAGAACGGTATGAGTTATCAGTTCAATCGGCAGTTCGATGTACCTCAGAGTCGCCCCAAATCTTTGACTTCAATCACCAGAAACAATCGGTAAAACAAAAATTATTAAAATACTCTAATAATCCCTGAAAATTTATTTCAAGAATTAAATCCAAATTAATCCGGAGTAATTAAAAATAATTCCCAGTATTCAATTAATCCAATCACTCGAACCAATTAAATTATAATCAATTAATTGGCCGATTGTGTAATTAATTATTTAATTAATCCAATTAATTAATCAGGTAAATAAATAATTGATTCATTAATTACAGGATAAATTGAGGGAATTTCCTGATTTTGGGATTTGTTGAATTTTTTAATGTTGCAATCGATTTAAAAAATTATTAATTCATTCCACCTGATGAGCTGGAGCAGCATCTCCAGGGAGTTCACGTGGAGGCCACTTATTTCCGGTCTGAGTGACACATGTTTCCATAATGCTGTGTTGTATGCAATGAGACGCCATCGTCTGCAAACCCGTGCCAATTGACAAATCTCACGGTGAGAAAGATAACTGAATAAATGGAGAAGCACTTTATCCGGTAATTTTTCTATCGTCTGCAACAAAAGCCCATTATTTAAAAAAAGAAACTGAAAATTCAAAAAAATTCACTCCCACAATCCCTCCCCCACCCCCGGCCCTAATTATTATTCATTAAAATCATCTGTAACCATCTGCAATTATTTAATTATTGAAAATTAATTATTTATTCAATGATAAATAATTGAATGAAAAAAAATAATTTAACATTCAAATATTTATTGTCAATATTTTTACGAGGAATATTTCATAATGAGATATTAATAAATTTTCATTGAATGAATTGTGAAATATTATTTATTTATTTGTAATGATAAATGTTATGATAAATAATTTTTAGTGAAATGCGAATGAATAATTGGAGGATTTATAATGAATTCTTTTTTTTTTTTATAAATAATGCAGATGTATTTATTTATTTTGCTGGAGTGATTGGAGTGATTAATTGTTAATCAATTTTAATCACTCACAGTACTTGCAAATCTGCTCTTAACAACACCCCCTTCCTCGACATACATCTGCGAGGTCTCGAGGGCAATCTGTCCCCAAACATCTACACCTCCCAAATCCATATTGTTTATTTAAAAATATTAAAATCCCTTCGGATGAATAACAGAAAAATCCAATGGAGACGATAAAAAAAAATAGAGAATCCAGAGACGATTGGAGAATATTCTCCGGCTGTACTTTGTTTATTATATTTTTATTTTATTTATTGTTTTTATCGAGTTTGAGGAAGACTCACTAGTTCACAATTACGAGTACCAGAAAATCCAACGGACTTACCTAGTCTTAATCTAATAGCGCAAGCGCAAGTTACACAAATAAACTTTGTTTAATTTTAAACATCTCGGGGTGCCGCAAATTCTCAATTCATTTTCATTTTCAAAAATCTGGGAATTTTTATTTATGCAAAAAAGGTAAAAATAATAATAATATCGATCATCCGATAAATATTCGAAATTTTTCCTTCAATTTCCCGTTAACTAATCAATTATTCAATGAATAACTAATAATTCCCGATCAATTGTTCATTACAGAATCGATTGTTAATAATTTTTCGATAATTATTGATGGATTAATTCATTATTAATCGATTGGAAATTAATTAATAACGGGATTTTCTGAATTATTTAAATAGTCCATAATTAATTGATTGGCAATCGATTTGATATTAATTAATTAATTAATTAATTAAGGCGTTTTTTGTAAAAATTAATTTGATGAATAAAATTTTGGATCAAAAATTATAGTCCAGATTAAAATTGACATTCTGCCAATTTATGACTCACTAAATCCGGGGACGAGACATTTCAATGAATCTAACCCAAGAAATTAATTAAATTAATTACCCAATTAATTATCCGTTCACTCCTCGAGATTTTCCGATTTATTCTCCCCTTTAATAATTAATTAATCGCTGTACAAACAAAATAATCGGCAAAAAATCGTTCCAAATCGATTTCAAAAGGAATAATTATTTATATTAATTACTGCCAATTAATAATTATTAATAATTACCCTGGTTATTGTAATTAAAACCCTTTGGGAGAGGAAAATTCCAGGAATTTATTGAATTTAATTAACGAAAATAATAGTAAAATTCGGATGAGGGGGAAATCGATTGATTGGATTAATTGAATTTTTATTAATTACCGGTAAATTTTTTCTCCGCAAGCTCGTGTGCACATCATCCCTCGATATCACCCCCGCCCCCTCAACAGTTAATTTTGTCCAGACACTCATTATTCAATTACTGATGAATTTATCTGTTTAAGATTCACCAACTGACTGAAGACATTTCCAACACCGAAAATTCTCTGTACACATCCCATTTATCCCAGTCGATTCTATAATTAACCGTTCAGCTGTCGATAATTGAATAATCACTCGAATCCGCGAGACAAATCGACTGATTAAAAATAATAATTGCAAATTAAAACAAATGAGGAGAGAATTTCCTCGGAAAAAAAAATTAATTCAAAAGAAAATTCATTTTAAAAAATTGATATTCATTGGATTGATTATTAATTATTCATCGATTCTAATTGATTTTGGGGGGAAATTGGAGTTTTTTAATTTGATTGTTTATGGTTGGGGTGGGGCTCAGGGGATTTGTTACTATTATTATTTTTTTATAAATCAGGGATTTTTAATGCTCGTCTGGTACGCGGGAGAGAACACTTGCAACTGCCTCGTCTTTAATTAGTTGTAAGCACTCGGCACTCCGCCAAAATTTAATGCAAAAAGAGAATTTATGGCTTCAACTAGACAATTCTTCAATCACTTGTCACAATTGTTTCTATTTTTTATTGTTCATTGCACTGACAATAAAAATTACTCAACCAAATTCGAATTCACTTAGAAAATAATAAAAAATTGCATAGACTTTTGGGTTTTCCTATTAAATTATTTAATCAAGTCGTTAATTATCGGGTCTAATGGTGAGATTAACAATCAAAGTGGGATATTATTTAAATTATTATAATTACGTACTGTATTGCAATAATTGGGTTTCACCACCTCCCAATCTTCATTATCCTGTTGTGCGATCTGAAGAGCAGCTTCGACACTCAGGGTATTCCATCTTGACATGCTTCAACAACCATTAATAATTAATTAAAAAATAAAAAAAACAAAAAAAAAATGAAAAATATGGAAATTACAATTCAAATTTTCATTACCAATCTAAAAAAATTCCACAAAACTCTTACAATTCCTCCCACAATTAATTAATTTAACAATTTCGATTCATCTCAACTATTTTATTTATTTATTCATCTATTTCTTCATTTATTCATTCATTCATTAATTTATTTATCGGTTTTAAGTGTGATTGAATGAAAATTGAATGAAAACTGAATTTTCCTCAATAAAAAAAAATGGAGATGTGCAATTGTTGTTTATATTTATTATTATTTATTTAATACTTCACTGAAAACTCCACTGAATGTTGAGCCAGATAATGGAGATCGGAACGATCTAAATTTATCTCAAAAATATTCCAACGGGTATTATTCTTTTTCCAAAAAAATATTATTAAACTCACTCAGTTATTGATAAACAATAAAATAAATAGATCATACTCAGTCATGATTGCTGCACCAAGTGAATGCGTCTGAAGTTTACGAAGCGTAACGAAAAAAAAAATAAAATAAAAGTAACGAAACTAAAATTGAGAGCAGTTTTGTTGGTCCAGAAATAGATCTCTGGAGATCTCTTTCCCCCTGTTGAGCCTCTGATTGTGGGCGGGAGTGTTCGAACGGTAAATAAAATGGTTTTTCTTTTTTTTTTTTTTTCATTGCAATTGTCAAGTGCAACTCCTGGAGTAATTCATCCGAAAATGGTAAGTTTAATGACTTGTCATGGTGCCAGGGGTGAGACACACGATTCTTGGCGCGTGCCTCTAATTTTATCAAATTAAATTCCACTAAATTCGCATGATGCAGATGTGACCTTCGAGTACGCTCATTGCACCCGGGGATTCACCTGTCGTCGTTATTCAAATTCATTCCCTCCAGGAGAAATTTTCTCTCCGAATATTTCCGAGAAACCGCGATTTTTTTTTTCTGCCAAAAAAAAAATTGAGTCTTCTAATTCCATCGTAAAACTTTAAAAATTAATACTCATAATTATTCATAATGACAAATAATTGTAATGATTATTATTAATAATTAATCTGGCATTTATTAATTGGCGATTAATTAATTAATTGGGTGTTTTTTTTATTGATTTCTGTTGTTGTATTTTTTTTATTAATTCCAATGAGATTAAAAAATATTTCTCCGGATTTTTTGACCCAAAAAAATCGGAATTGATTTTTGTCGATAATTCATAAGTTGCCGACGATCGATACCGAAAAATCCGCGATCAACCGGAAAAATTCCACGGCGTTAATTCCCGAATGATCTTATCAATTAATCAATCAATTGAATCAATACGAACCGATATCTCTCCCCAAAAATCGATAACCCGAATTTTCGATTTTTAAATTTCCCCGGGAATCCCTCAAAAACCCCCGAAAACCCCAAAACAATTTTCAAATAATTTCCAACACCCCAAAACTCCATTCCCCCACCTCAATCCCGCCACCACCCCCTCCAACCCAAAAAAAAACCCGGAAAACTCAAATTACGCATTTTCAAATTTAAAACCACCGGAATTTTCAATTTCCCCCCGCGCACCGTGCACTGCGCAGCTGCGCCATGAAACATTTTCCCTATAAAATCCCTAACACTCGGCCATAATGCGCATTACGAGTTCCGAAGTCCTGACAGTACTTTCGTCTCCAAAAAAACCGGGAAAAATAGTGAAAACAATTAAAATCAACAATCATACAGCAGTAAAAAAATTGTAATGACCCCTGGGGAGTGGTTGATGTGTCAGTCGTCATCTGTCAATCACCAGTGAATCGCCAGGAAGGAATAATTCGAGGAGATAATTGTGGACAATCTCGGTGAATTAATGATAACATCAATTTGGATGAGGGGCGGGATGAAATAATTGGAGTTCATACACATAAATCAGTGACACAGACGCCCTAATATCGTGGGTCCGCACTCAGTCCTCAGTGTAGGCTAGTCGGTCGCCCGAGTGGTCGTCGTGGATTTTTTTCACCATCAAAAACCCAATGTGAGACCATTCCAGAGATTTCCAGAAATTTTTGTATGGAGACACCTCCAGAGGCATCATCCAGTGAGGCAGACTGCCAATAGGTTTTTTTTATTAAAATTTTTTTTTATTACTGAGGTCTTGGATTTTCATGGAGCAATTCTGCAGGGATAATTGCAGCATGGAGGTACTTGTGGAGAGTGTCAGGGACGAGGTATGGGGACAGTGGGACGAGTTTGTGAATTATTTTGAGTATCAGCCATGGTTTTTCTCACTACTTGGAAGTGTTATGGTTGGACTTTCGGGAGTTTTTCCACTGCTTGTTATTCCTATTGAGGATGGAGTCAACTTGAAGAGCGGAGGTAATTTTTTTATTTGTTAAATTATTAAAATTGTGGAGTTTGTTTGGGTTTTAGCGGCATTCAGGGAAAATTTCGCGGTTTATCAGCGGTTATCTCGGGATCCATGAGGTTTAGGAGAAAATGTGATAACACGTTTTTTGTGAGGAATTTAATTTACTTGGAATCGTGTTCTATGGAATTTTTTGTAGAAGGACTAGGGAGGCCGGTTTTTCCGGAAAATGGTTGGCAACTTCTTTTTTGTTGTAATTGGGAAGACATTTAGTTTGTTTATGATTATCTCGGTCGGGCGAGGGTTTAGCAAAAAATGTGATAAGAACGTTTTTGAAGGGAATTTAATTTACTTCAGAAGTGGTGAGAGACTTTATTTCGTGGGAACATTCGGTCAAGAGATTATTGAGGATGTCCCATCGATGGAATAGTTCCACGAATTTTTCGCGACATTATGGAAAAATTCTGAGGAAATTATCAAAATTGATTGGAATTCTCGGAAATCTCTGGATCAATTTTTCCCACGATTTTTCGCGAGGCGTTCAAGGGGAATGTAAACAGTTGGTGAGAAAATCGATTAGTTGTGGAATTTTTCCTAAAATTTTAAAGCTTCTGTTACAATTCCTTCCTGTTATCACAATTTCCGGTTCTCGTCGTTGAATTACGATCCGAGAATTGAATTCCTCTTCTCAAAATTTCAGAATCAACGATTCGAGTTAAATATAAACCAGAGTTTATTGATCTCTCGGTGCAAAGTACCAGAGGTCGTAATTACCTACTCGATCATTAAACAGTACAAAAATTCTGACAAAGAAAATTGCGGAATTAATGATCGATTACGCACCGAAAAATCAGCCGAGACAATGAGAGTTTTAAACTCACACGTGGTATTTATTAAATGGAGTGTCGAGGTCAGTGTTCGATGCAAGAATAAAAATCAGAGAGATGTGACTTCAATTGTTTATTAACTATCTTCAATTCCACTGCGCAATTTTTCAAAATATCTCGCACGTCAATTGACGGGAATTGCAATCCAGAAAAATCAGAGAAACTTTTTGATAAATAATAGGAAATAGTGGAAGTCGATGGGATATTTGTTTGGAAATATATTTTTCGGGGTTTGCGGGATTTATTTGGGTTTTCGGGGAATTATTTGAATTCTCTCCGTGAAAAAGTCTCGGTGACACTCGAAAATTGGAGGAAGAATGTTGGAATAGATAATCTGATATTGCCGTCACGTTGCGATATCGTATCGATTGAAAATATGCTATCTCTGGGTTCGATTTACATCAATATTTCATTGTGAAAAGGGACTGGAGCATCAGGAACTTCTCAGAAAATTGAAAAACTCAAAAAAATCTCCCCTTTTCCCACAAAATCCAATCAAAAAGCCCCAAAAAAAACGCATTAATTGAAATTCCTAAAAGAAATTGAAGCAACATCAATTAATAACCAACTAATAATTTATTTTATCAATTATTTAGAAATAGAAAATTGAAATCGAATTCTATGAATATATTTTTGAGGAGAAAATCGAATTGAATCGATTTTTGGAATTGATTTTTTTGAGACCTCTCGTGTCTCTAATTACCCATGAATAATTAATTACTTTCATTTTGACTTCCTGCATTTCTAGGTGGAAATTGTGATTTGATTTCTGAATTGCTAAGGGGAAAATACACACACGTGATTTATCACTAGTTGGAACAAAGGAAAAACTCTGTCATTGTCATTGGCAGCTCACCACTTTAAATTCTGAGAAAAATCGTCTTATCGAAAATGACTAGACTCTCAATTATCCAATCCCGCCAATTCAATTTTCAGAATAAAAATTTCCCATCAATTTTTCCTCAAAACTTGAAATTTCACATTTTCCCTGAGAATTAATTCATGAATTAATTACAAATAATATTCATTAATTAATTATATAATCAATTATCAATTATCTATTATGAGAATGATTAATTCTGAATAATAATAGCGTAATTGATAAATATTTATTAATATAATTGTTAATTGTTTTTAATGATGAATTTTTTTCTCAACTTTTTCATTTTTTTATTTTTTATTTTGGTTGATGCGGGAAAACAATTGTGAAAATATCTTGTTCTTGCGTTTGTTATCTATGTCATGAGAGTATGTAGATATAATGGACATTAGTCATAATAAAAACTTCTTCGATGAGTAAACTTCCTTTTGCATCGAGTGTCCGGATAATTCAGTATTCAATTCTGATTAAATATTTTTATTTCAAACAATGCGTCATTTAACTCGTTCGTGTCGATGTCTCTCATTATTTATCTAATCATTCAAATAATTATTGCAGAAATGATCCATTGATAAATCCTGAGAAATTAATTTGAAAATTCGAATTAATCATTTCGAATCGCGAATTTTTTTGGAATAGAGAGGAAGTTGACAAATTTATCTGTCGGGTACTTTGTGATGCGCAGTATTTTGGCACGTGCCAGGCATTAAACAATCATAAACAATTTGTCCCAAGGGTTTAATGTAACATCGCGCAATCAGTAATTATTCCGTTAATCATCCACGCGGAATTATCTGACACTTAAATCCAACTGCACCAGATATTCATTCACATTTTCCCCTAAACTAATTAATTCCTCATTATTTCTCCGGATAATTCCACCCCAGAATTCCACGAACACCAGAAGCAACTCGACGTAAATCCAATTACAATGATCATTCATTAACCACCCGACAATTAAATAAATATTAATTAAATAAACTCCTGCAAACAAAGTGGCAAAATCAGTTAATCTCCCCTCAATTATTCTCCCGCGAATATCTCCAAGACGCCAAGAGATACCGAAATTTTCCTAATAACCATTTTCCCAGAGGAAATCGAGAGCTACAAAAAATGTCATAACGAAAAAATCGGTATGTCCCATAGTTTGACGAATATTTCCAAAAAAACGTGCGGCTATTTCATGACTCGTTAGTTTTAATTACCCCCTTCATGATTTTTTAATTAATCGATCGTTTGGATGAATTAAATCTTTTAATTAATGAGTTTGTCATATTTTTTTTTCAGCTGGTGCTGGAACCCTGCGATTGCTCTTGAGTTTTGCTGTTGGTGGACTCCTAGGGGATGTTTTCCTGCACCTGTTACCAGAGGCATGGGGAAATAAATCATTGAACGGTGAGTGAAATAATTTCTCGTAAAGTAGACAACAGGAAAATGTGGGATGTACTATTTTTATCTCAGTGGGGTCGTGTGCAGTCGAAGATTAGAATGTTGGTCATCTCCAAAGATCGAAGGATCAAGACCAAATGATTTTTCTCACTTCCATCTTCTAATTCCCAATGACTACATCTATTTATCAGCGATCGAGTCATCAATTCCCCTAGAGTACACGAAAAAACAACACAATTTATCGTGACCCCAGACAGTGCCCTAGGCGTACGACAATTTGTAATGATAATCATTTAAAAACTGACAATTCCACAGCGTTAATAAAATTTTCAATTTTACTCTGAAATCCTGACCTCCTCCATCGGTTTGAATGTGCGCGCCAATATATCAAACTCGCGAGTTGTCTCGAAAAAAATCGATTGTGAAAAAATGGTTTTTCGATCCTAGGAGTGAATGGAAAACTGACGAGTGATTTTCGGCGATATCTCGCTAATGGAGAGGTTTACGAGAATTTCTTGTGGGACCTTTTTTGTAGTTCCCGAGATGGCCTATAAAAAAGGTCGATACAGAAATTTCGCTATCTAGCTTGAGTTTCGAGATATCACACCACTGGCAAATGATTCAATCTACGAGGATAGAATGTAGTGATGGGTTCACATCTGCACAATTTGCGAGCAATCTAGACCGATTCAATTTCACTCTATTGTCCAACAATCTGAATAATCATTCTCCTCCCGGACATTCTGTCCGAGTTCCGCCCATCTGACGATTACAAATGCAATAAACAAATCGTTATTTCCGCCTTTTACAACTTTTCCCTTTAGAAATCATTGGAAATTCTTTTTCTCATCTATGGAAAAATCTCTCTAACGATTATTTATTATTATTATTAATCCCAAGGACGAGTCTCTCACTGGGTTATCATTCAGTCAGTTGAATACTCGATATCGTCCCTGGCTAATCGGATTATTATCGACTATTATCGACCATTTAGAATTATCTCGTTGACATAACTAATCATTCTGACGACTTTTATTGACTTCTCATCATTCTCAAGAACAATTGCACTCATTTATCTCGTCAAGGCGTGATTCCATCAGAAAACCTCATCCCACCTTTTTTCTAGAGAATTAAATTCCCCAGAGAAAACATCCCCTGAAGATTTCTCTAGGTCCACCCAGTACCGAGATATTCCCGGTAAATGAAAGCCAAAGTACTGGTGGTTGGAGGAATGATGTGCAATTAATGATTTATAATTAATTATCTGTTATTTTAGACTCGACGAAGGGCCATCCATCGATACTCTGTGGTCTTTGGGTCCTCACTGGCTTCCTGGTGTTCATCATCGCTGAGAAAATATTCGTTGGGAGTAACCACGACGACGATGATGACAAAGAGACTGATAACGAGCCAAAGGTTTTTCCCAGGAACAATCAGAAAATCGTTAACAATAATCACCAGAATGGTCACTACTTCCATATCAATGATGTAGCCAAGAAGAATGGTTTTGCCAATGGAGTGTTGAAGCCCAGGAAGGAGATGTACAGCAGAAGTGAAATGCAGAAAGTCGATTTTTCAGTCAAGTCCAATGGATTTTCTAAAGAAATCGCTGGACAAAATGGAATTGGCAAGGATAAAAAGAGAAAGACGAATGATAAGCCGAAGGGGAAGCATATCAGTGGTTATCTCAATTTAATGGCTAATTGCATCGATAATTTCACTCATGGATTGGCTGTTGGTGGGTCTTTTCTCGTGTCGTTTAGGCTCGGGGCTCTCACCACTTTTGCTATTCTCATTCATGAAATACCACATGAGGTCGGCGATTTTGCTATTCTTCTCAAGAGTGGATTCAACAGGTGGGATGCTGCGCGGGCGCAACTCGTCACCGCCACCGGGGGAATCCTCGGGGCACTTTTTGCTGTGGCCTTTTCTGGGAGTGGAGTCGGTGAGTCTTCGAAAATCAGGTGCTTGTGGGAAAAATTTTCCTCGATCTCATGATTTTTTCCTAAATAATTCCAGAGGCTCGAACCAGCTGGATATTACCATTCACCGCAGGTGGTTTTTTGCACATTGGTCTCGTAACAGTTCTCCCAGAGCTCCTCCAGGAGTCAAATCCCAAGGAATCGATGAAGCAGTTGGGGGCACTCCTCAGTGGTATCACGATAATGGCAATACTGACGATCATTTGTGATTGAGACAAAATTTATTAATTATCTCACACACAAATGCTGAATTCCACTCAATCCCTAGACGTAGAAGCTTTAAGGAACACGAGAAACTAATTGACTGATAAATGTGTGATGTTTCTTAGCAAAAGGGTAAGAAAAACGAAAAAAAAAGAGAGATATCAGTTTTTTTTCTCTTCATTTAATGAGATTTATCATTTTTTTTTTGTCTAGTTGATTGATTGATACTCGCAGTGCGAGATTATTGTCGAACAAATTGAAATGTCTGCATGATACGTTCTCTCTTCGATTTTTGGGAATTATCTGGTGAATGAATTTTTTTCTCTATTCTATTTTTTCCAAATGCGCACACTAGGTTCACAGGGAAATGTTAGATTTTTTTTTTCATTGATATCCGATTTGGAAAGAGCTCTTTAGATCCTTATGAGACATTTATTTTCGTGGTATTCGGGGTACGGGGGGAGAAATGGAAATCTAATCGATTATTTAACTCTTGCTGTAGATTTTTTTGTCTGGCCAGTAGAGAATCAGAATAAAATGGAAAACGGAATGGAGTAATCGTTACCTCCATTATCATTAATTATCTTGAATATATTTTCACGTATTGTTAGTCGATTTTCATAGTCTAATTTTTCTGTATAAATAAAAAAAAAATCGTGTTGGAGAGCATTTGAAGAATCCGGTGTTGATTTCCATGAGAAGTATTTGAAAAATCGAAATAATGCGTTAAATTTCTTGACATTATTCATTAAAAAATTTATATAAATTGGATAATGCGAGTGCATGGATGAGGACTGTAAATATTGACGAGAATGCACAATTTATTTTGCCATTTGACGTGCATTTTCGATTATTTCACCTAAATTTGACTTTATACCAAATTTCGTATTTTCTCAACTCAAGATAAATTTTGTAATTCATTAGTTGAAACAATGGAAATGTGAGTAATTGACACAATGGATTTGTAAATAAAGGAACTATGTGAGTCTGTGACTTAAAAAATCAAAGATTATTCATAGAAAATGGATAATTAACATTCCCAAATCCAAGACAATGCCTTGTATTAAATTAATCAAATATTTATTGAGCATAAAAATTATTCCACAGTCTACCGCAATTTACAATTCATCGTGAACTTCAAAGACGAGAGATTTGAGTCTCAATATCTGTTTGTACAAATTTTCCCAGGTCTCGAGGTCCTCAAGGCCTGTTCCCTGTCTCAGATTTTCGTAGAATCCCTCCAGTTTCTGGAGAGTATTAATTAAAGAGTTCTCAGGATCTCGAAACTCGTTCCTGCAGGTTCCACTGAGAGTTATCAAATTCTCGAGGATGACTTCCAGAAAATCCTGGGGCATCACGTCATCCGTGTACTTCTGAGTGATTAAAATAGTCAAGTACTTGCAGTAATTGTGGAGTTGCAATTTCTTCTCGAATTCAGTCTTCTCGTATTCCCTCGTCTTCAGGGTCCTGAGAGCCTCGTCCTCTGTATTTTTTATGTTCTCACGTTCAATCGAGAGATCGGTGATGAGTTTCATCACTCGTACCTGGATTTGACTGGCGCCGTCCTCCAGGATTTTACCGAAGAGCTCCAGGCCTCCGTGATCGATGAGGACCTTCTGGGCAGCTGGAAATTGACGGACTAGGGCTCCCAGGGCGAACATGCAGCGAGAATCCAGAGATACTTTACTGGAGACTGTCAAGGTGTGCAGCAGCTTCTGCACTAGGTCTGCGTTCGTGGCCCTCAGCTGGACCTTGGGATTCGACTGGACTGATGTCCCCAGGATTATCAGGGCCTCAATCTTCACGTCGTCGTTCGTTATGTTCAGACAGGGCGAGATTATCTTCTCCATCCTGAGGATATCATCAACATGCCAACATTAAATCCGTTGTAATGTAAATATCTTGAAAATTAATAAAGATACAGAAAATTTTATTGATGCATTTTTTGTTGGGGGAGTCGTGGAGCATAAAAAAGATCTTTATGTAAATTTTGATTTCTGTCCTTGTTTAGGTGATATTCCTCGTGATGTGAAAAGGAGAAAGAAAATCGATCTCGAAATATATCGATATGTACCGCAAAATCGACCGAGGAGATAAAAACCAGAAAGAGAAAAAGAATAAATTGATGCCGAATTGATGCTCTCACCCCCCTAAATCGGCAAACACCTGTGCATTATCGATCTGATGAAGCAAAAACTCCAGATCATTAAAAATCTGGAGAACTGCATCGGCTTCAGACCTCAGAAGACTTCCAGAGGCCAGAGACTTCTCGTAATTCTTGAATTTATTAAAAATATCAGTGAGAATTTCAGAATCAGTCGTGATATTCATTTCCAGGGCCTTGAAGTCCTCTTTTATGTCTTCGTAACTCCTGAATGCCTTTTTCACCTCTTCCTTATGGGCCTGCACTCAAAAATCAAAAAATTTTGCGAATTCTTAATGAAAACAAACGACAAATCGACTAGAAAATTATTTCACCAATGAATCAGCATCCTCTCTGGTCTCCAATTTAATTTTCTTGAGTTTCTCCTTCAATTCGTCAATTGACAACACCAAATCATTGGCTGCATCATGCAGAACTGCATCCGAATGCAAAGACAATGATTTTATTTTCTCGTCGTCATTATTCTCTTGATTATCGTTATCGTCTTCGAATAATTTCGCCTGAATCACTTTTGTCTTCAAATTGTGTCTCACGTGGAGGCCTTTGGGTATTGACTGTCCTAAAACCCAAAAAAAAAAAAACAATTAATTAATCATTAAATTCTCCCCTCAAAACCCCCACAACTTCCATAACTTCAACACGATTCAATAAACCGTCAATTCCCCCCATAAAAAAAGGTTTTACAAAAAAATGTCAGAAAACTTTTTTTCTTGGAAATTTGATTCCCTCCAAAAAATTCCTCTACCATTTTTTCCAAAAATCACTCTTTCTGAAGAAAATCGCAGAAATATGGAGAATAAAATGTGAAAACAACGAGACAGCAATAACGAGTAATAATTGACCTAGTTATCGTTGTCATTACCTTTTCTGACAGTCTGCCACTCGGTCGTGGCAACAAAAGCTGTCGATTTGTTCTCACAATTGCCCCCAAGAGCTCCAAATAAATAAACAACCAACAAAATCATGAGAATCTTCATTTTCCAGAGAATTTATGATGCAATTGTTCTCCAATATTTTGTCAATATCTCTTGCCACGAAACAACTCGTCACAATATTAACTCTCAATTGTTTCTCGATCCAGTTGTAAATAATCCATCATCACCGGGAGCAATTGTTAATGATAAACATCATCGATGAATGGGAAAAATACACGTCAGTTCATTGAAGATTCAAACACGAATGTAAATCGTCACATGTGCCATCAAGAAAAACATCGACTACATAAATCGATAAAATAAATACCTGAATTACCCATTTACCCTCCCCCCTCTGCCCGCCAAAATATAAAAATATAATATTTATTAAATAAAAAAGACTTATTCCCTCTCGAAATCAATTATTAAAAAAATTACAATTGCAATTACATCTGCAATAAAACACTATAAATTATGTAAATAATATAAATAATTTGATTGTTGATGGAATTTGTTAATTATCGAATGTAACTTGAATATTTTGAATATTCAGAATGAATGAAGGAGTTCGGGATAATTTGAGGGAAAAATTACGGTTTGTGATTCATTTTTAAAAACTCGTATATTATGAATATCTGAAAACATGTAGAGCCTTTATATACCATATATTCACTCTCTGTGTATTCACTGGAACGAGTGTTCGTTCCCTAGATGAAATAAAAAAAAAAGAGAATGAGTTAAAAACCCGAAAAAATCGGAAAATTCACTCCAGATTATCGAGTTCTCCATTTACGACAAATAATCGGGTATTTCGTTATATTACAGTCAACACGAGTCACATTATTGTACAATTATTTCTTCAGAGCCACTGTACATCAGATAAGTATAAAGTTTTGTATTTACCCCGAATTATTAGGCAACGCCTCTATCTTATCTATCAATTTATTCAGCAGTGAAGAACGAAATAGAAATAAATTTGGAGGAAAATATTTCAATTACCCGTAGAAAACTGAATTTTCCACGTGAAAATCTCAATTCCTCGAGAATTCATTCATTATCAGAGTAATTAATGAATCAAATCATATCTATTGCATTTTTCATTCTCGCATGTTGATATTCTCGGAATAATAAAGTTCTCCACTACTTTTCAATCACTTAATGATAAATTAGCGAAAGGGGATCGATTTTCGATCGTTTAAACAAATTAAGCAGTGGGATGGGTACAGAACGATTTATCAATTCAAGTTGTAAAATTTTTTTTTCATTCATTAAATACAAATTGGGGGGAATCGATTGGAGAACAAGAAAAGAAAAATGATTTCAAGTGAATGATTGCGTATCGGGGGGGAAATAGAATGATTGAACCGTGCAATCACGTAAGAAAAGCGAGGGGAATCATTAATTGAGGGAAATAATCATTGATGGTGGCACAGATTTTTAGTTTTCAATTGGTTCTTGGGGTTTTGCTCGACTAATCGGATTGATGGCTTAAATCGGCTTCGACTGCGTCCTCGTCCAGCATGGAGAACATGTTGGAAGCCACAAAGTTCTGAAATTAACAAATCAATCAATTAATTATTTTTATCATCAATTAATCTTACCTGAAAATCAGCCAGGAAAATGATAAAAAAAAATTCTATCAATTTTTTCGAAATACCTCCGAAAGGGAGAGAGATAATGAAATTTCTGTTATCACCTTTTTTGTAGAGCTAATTGAGAAGAGGAAAAAAGGTTATTACAAAAATTTTTGTTTCTCCGTCAGTTTCGGAGATATTGAAAAATCAGAGACGATTTTTTTTTTCAATGACTTGGAATTATTATTTTTTTATTATATTGTTATATTAATATTTACGGGAGCTTGCTCGTCCGAGGCTTTCGGCATTGGTGGCTCCTCCTTTCCCTCACGCTC